TTACGTAATAGCTTTTTACGCTTTAAATCGAAAATATAAATATTAATATCCGGCCGATCGTTTACGGATTACCCCGGAAATAATTTACGTTTTATTTTTAGCTAATTCGGATTCGTAATAAAAATTATAAAAAATATAAGCTTGCCTAAAAAACGCGTTATAATTATAAAATTTTAATAATAGCGGTATATATTCCGTAAGCCTTTAACGTAAAACGCGGGTAAATAAATATTTTTAATGCTTATATTATTTAAATTAAGGTAATTAAACGCGAAAGCATCCTTAAAGCTATTATAAAAATTAATATAAATTTTGTTTTAGTAATTTTTAATATATTAAAAAGCGTTTTATTCGGTAATAGCCTAAGCATTAATTATAAATTATTAAAATAGCCTTTTATATATAAACGGAACCGATTAGCCTTTTTTTCGATAATAAAAATAATACCGAAATTATTTATATATCGTAATTATATTCCGGGCCTTTTTTATTAAACCGCGTTTATTTAAGCTTATTTTAAACCTTTTACTACCGTTCGGCTATATTAAAACGTATATAAGCGGCATATATAACGGATATTTTATAAAAAATTTTTTTAGCGCGAATTCGCCGAAGTTACGCTTAGCTAAAATTATTTTATATTAGCGTTTAAGCTCGGTATAATTTAAAAATATATTAGCGACGTCGTTAATAATCGGAAGGTTTTTATATTATTAATCCGCGCTTTTTTTTATTATTAATTATAGTTTAAAATTTAAAATAATTTTTAAGGCCTAATTATTTAAACCTTAATAATGCTATTTAAAAACGGCCTAAATAAAACGCTTTCGGGCCGTTGCGTAAATTTTTACGTAAAAATTACGATAATATAAATAATTTAATAGCTAGGCTATTATATTTAAATTAAAATTATTATTTAGGCTTATCCGTATAAATACGGCTTTTTTCGGGTTTAAAAATATAATTATTAATACGTCGGCTTAAATTTAGCTTATAATTTTAAAAGCCTAATTTTATAATATAAGGCACCTTATATATAATAATAATTAAAGCTATTATTACCCGATTTAGGCTAACCGGGTATTATTTTAGCTTTTAATAATATTAAAAGCTATATAAATATAAACGAATAAATTATATTATATTAGCGTAATATATTATAAAACGCTTTATTTTATATATTACGCCCGAAAAATAACGCTTAAAGGAAATTTAGCGGTTTTAAAAATTTTCGAAAAATAATATAGCCGTTATTATAATATTTATTAAATATAAAGCTTTTGCTATTTTTTTTATTAATAGCCTTTTTATATTAATAAAAAATATCGTAATAATCGTATTAATACCTTATAAACCCGATATTGTTAATAAGCGCTATAAATAGGCTATTAATAAATAGCTATATAATATATTTAGCTATCGGGTTTAAACGCTAAAATATAATATTTTATATAAAAATTTAAATAAAGGAAAATAAATTGGGTTTAATAAATATTATTTTAATAATACCGAACGTATTAAGGCTTAAAGGTAAAAAAGCGAATAATTATAGGTAATAGTCGTTTTAGGCCGCGGCCGCGCTTTATTTATTTTTATTTTTATTAACGCTAAAAGCTTATATCGCGGAAATTATTAGCCGGGCTTATTTAAAAGGTTTCGAAATCGAAAGGCCGCGGAAAAATATTAATTAAATAAAAAAGCGCCGTTTATTTTTAGGTAAGCTATAGCATCCGGTGCTACGCTTATAATTTTTATACGGATTATTTTTTGCGTTAAATTTAATTTTTTTAAAAGGTCGATTACGGCTATAATAGCCGTATATATATTATTTACGCGTTAATTTAAATAATAATATTATATATATATATATATATATATATATATAATAAGTTTTATAATAATAAGAAATATATAAATATCGCTAAAAGGATTGCGTACGCGACTAAAATACGCTATAT